AGCCTGTGTCAAAATGACCTTGCAACCCCACACCTCATGACTGAAGACGCCAGTGGACAGATCCACAGCAGGAAGAGATAAAGGGTAACTTGCTCTCACATTTCCCAGCTGCATTTCTTGGAGATTGAGGGAATAATTGACAACCCTGGTCCTTGCCTCCCTCCGCACTTAGATAACGTCGGCATCTCTGAACTTGTTTGATGTATAACCAAGGAATTCTTGTTTATGTCACCTTCAATGTATAATCTAGAGAAAAGACCAGATATACTCTATCTCTTTTCTTTGACATATATGAAATCTGGTTGTAAGATATTTTTCCTCTTCCCTGCACATACACTGTTTGTGAAAGAGATATAAGTTGCACTTAAACACACCCCTCAGAGCAGTTTCACCAGAGCCTCTGTTGAACTGTTTCTCTGGGGTTTGAACTCCTCACACTGATTATTGAATAAACTCCTTCACTAATGTCACTCTTTATTCTTTATTTATTATTAATGTCGACTCTTTATTTCAGTCGACACTTATGATCTGGTGACAGAGCCTGGCAGACCAGATGTCATAAGACTTGAGTTATTTTCCAGTTGCTGTGGGATCAGAGACGAGTCATACCTCCCTGCGTTTCACGACATTTCGAAACACGTGTCACTCAGCTTTTTAAACCGGTTCACCAGCTTCATCAGTTCTCCCTACTGACCCACATCACACATGACCCACCATCAGCAGTGAATTCTAACACTAAAAAAGGAGAACAGTGAGGACACGGAACCCAGGGGAAAGCCAGAATTATTCTCATAAACTTAAAAGTGAATTTAAAATACAACAGACATTAATAATCACTGATTAATAAGCAGCAAGAATTGAGTAATACCCTAAGTCGAGCTGGCAGCATTAAAACCGAGGTGTTAAATAGCTGGTTCTCAACCCTTTTATGGTCGTAGCACAATTTCAAATACCAGAATTTTGATAAAACAGTTGAAGAGATTAAGACTCAAGAAACCATTGAATAAGCTAATAATAAATGCAACAAAATTATGCTAGCATGTAACGAAGCCTCATATTCCCTACAAAGATCTCACAGTCGTGATTCACCATAATCGTTCATCCTCAGGCTCAGATCTTGTTTGAAGAGAATGATTGATGCCTTCGCAGAGCTTGAGGACAGGATCCAAAAGTTCAGTCATTGCTCGTCTGTACATTCTCCTTCGGTGAGGGTTTATGTTAAACCATCTTACTTGTAGTGAAACAAACAAATTATTATTGAGCATCTTCTGTGTGGCAGGTTGTTTCCGAATTGAGTGATAGAGAGAGAGCATTGTAACAGCAAAGTCCGTTCCTCATGGAGCTTACTGTCCAGCGGGAGGGACAAAAAATAACCAAAAAATTGTTTAAAAAACAAAAAACCAAGTAAAGGATTGGGGATAAGGTCAGGGGCAGCAGAGGGGAATAGAGAATACGGGGGAGGAGTGGTAACTATTACACATGGTGTTGTCTGGAGATGACTCATTGCCGGGGTGATATTTGAGAAAAGACCTGAAGAAGTGAGAAAGCCTGGGCTGCAGATTGCTGAGAGAAGATTGTTACAGGCAGAGGCAACAACAGGTGCAAAAGCCCTCAGGCGGAGCACACTTGTGTCAACAATGGCCAGTGGCTGGAGGGAAATGTTTGAGAGGAGAGTGGTAGGAGAAGAAATCAGGAGGGGATGTGGGGGGCTTGGGGGACATAGGCGAGATCAGATAGGACCTCTGCAAAGACTTTGGCTTCTACTCTGAGTGACATGAGAAGCCAGTGGAGCGTTCTCAACAGAGGAGTACGTATTTTAACCTGTTTTTTAAAATGATAGCTCTGGGAGAATAAAAATGCAAACACGAAGAGCAGAGGAGAGATGGTGGTGGTGTTTGAACCAGGGTGGTATCTATGGAAGAGGTGAAAAGTAATTGAATTCTAAATATATTCTGAGGGTAAAGCTGAAATAATTTGCTAATGGGTTAGATATGGTATGGGAAAGAAAGATAGGAATTGATGACTCCCAGGCTTTTAGCCTGGGAATTAGAAAAAATGACATTCTTATGGATTGATATCGTGAATACTACAAGAGGAGTAGGTTTTAAATCAAAAACAAGAAATTTGAGGGGCCAGCCCAGTGGCATAGCAGTTAAGAGCGCGTGCTCTGCTTCGGGACCCGGGGTTCACAAGTTTGGATCCCGGGCTCACACCAACGCACCGCTTGTCAAGCCATGCTGTGGCGGCGTGCCCTATAAAAAAGTAGAGGAAGATGGGCATGGATGTTAGCCCAGGGCCAATCTTCCTCAGCAAAAAAAAAAAAAAAGAAGAAGAAATTTGATTTTGGAAAACATGAGGTTAGCATCCTGTGCTGTCCAAATCAGCAGTCACTAATCCTATGTGGGTATTTAAATTTACATCATAATTAATTAAAGTTAAAAAAATTAAAATTTTAGTTCCTCAGTTGCACCTGCCACATTTCAAGTGCTCAATACCCACCCACACGTGGCTAGTGGCCACCGTATTGGACAGAGATGTTAGAGCATTTCCATCATCACAGAGAGTTCCACTGGGGAGGACTGGGGAGACACGAAGCCTTTACGATGTGCTGGGCCCTGCGCTACGTGCTTTACATGCACTACTTCATGTGATGTTTAACAACTCTATGAGTCAGGCAGTGTTGCATCTTTCTACAAAGAAGGTAACTAGGGTTCAGAAGTTAAGTAACTTGCCCCCAGTCACATCATTATTAACGGGTAGACACAGAACTGGATTCCAGGACTGTCTGCTTCCAAAGCCCAAGCACTTACATCATCACACTATATTTTAGGGAGATTAAACTAGTTTGAAATTAAACATGACATCCACAGGGAAATGTCCAGTAGGTTATCGGCAACAAAGTGTCAAAGAATAGAAAACAGGAGATCTGATAGCTCTGTGGTAAAAGTGAATCTCCTAAGAGATCCTGTGTGTTGTAGAAACTAAACAGAACACATTCCAGCATACTACCAGTTAAGAGAAAATAAAAATATTCAACGAAGGCACTAGTTTATACCTTTTGATAAGGGGTCAATCTACATGAAAGGATTGCTTAGCAGAAAGGGCTTACTTGACACCAAATAACATAAGACTGAGAATCATTGCTCTACCCAGTGGTTCTCAACTAAACATGGTACCACACCCTTACAGGACATCTGGAAATGTATGGGGTGTTAGGGGTAGAATGAGGGGTTCCATGAGCATTTTGTTCTCTTTCCAAAAATGTCAACAGTTGCCCCACAAAAGAAACATGAGCCTACTGTGATACTCAAGAGATACTCCTCAGTCCATAAACTAAAGCAGTATGGGCATTAGAACACGGTGGCTAGCAGCACAGGTTTTATAGTCACATGAACTTGTGCTCCAATCTGTTCCGAATTGTACCTATGGCTTGGGACCATTACCTAGACTCTGAGCCTTAGTTTTCTCATCTAAATAATGCAGAAAAAAATAATTAATACACATCATCTAGGGCAGTTCTGAGAATTACAAAACTTCAAGTACTTGGCCCAGTGTTTAGCTCAGGAAGTCATGTCAATGTACACTATTATTAGAAGTGGAAAAAGAGGATAAAGAGGAACTCGAGAATGGAGATTAAAATAAGATGGAAATTCAAATAGAAAAGAAAATCTAGAGCAGCACTGTCCGATAAAAAAACATGGACACAAAAATGCCAGCACATGTAATTTTAAGATTTTCCCTAGCCACATTAAAAAACGTAATACACAGATAAAATTAATTTTATGAATATATAATATTTAGGTTACCAACTATATCCAAAAATGTTATTTCAATATGTAATAATATTTAAAAAAGAGGCATTTTACTTTTGTATCAAGTCCTTGAAATCCAACGTGTATTTTACTTACAGCACGGCTCAGCTCAGACTAGCCACATTTCAAGTGTCCAACAGCCTCATGTGGCTCATGGCTACAGATTGCACAACACAGGGCAAGAGTATCAGTGAGTCAAACTCTTTTACTGATGGCTGACTTTCAGTAATTCTTCAGATTCTTACAGGCTAACATTTCAGTGCATGGAGGGTGGTTTCAGAAAAGTCTCAATTATTGCATTAAGGGACTTGAGACTCAGGATCTTTATACAAGCCAAGAAGAGGCACTGTTGCAGAATGATTGAACAGTCATTGACTGGACTCGACGAGATGTAGATTCCCAATCCAGCTCTGCTATTTCCTATGTCCGGGAACAGGTTAACTAGTCAAACACCTGTTTTCTTAGTTGCAGAATAGAGATAACGGCATCAGCTCCTCTAAGTTTTGTTCTGAGGATAATGCATACAAAGCTTTAGCCTAGCGCCTACAAGCTATTTCTCCAAGTACGAACTGCAGATATTTGTATTTGGGTTCGAGAAATAGAACAGGAGTTCAGTAGAATTCTGGTTATTCTTTATATTCACACACAAGAAGTATTTTAGAGCTGTCCTGCTTTTACAGCTTTTGTTCATGAGCACATTGTGTTCTTCCACAGCTAGGAGTGTTTCTCTTCACAGTGAGGGCAATGATTTGTCCTCAAGCTCAGACATACCTCAACCTCTAGAAGACTGCCTGGCACAGGGTGGGTTCTCAGAAAGTTTATTAAATGAATTTTTGGTGGCAGAATTCCTAAATAATAGTTATAAGTATACCATGAAAAGTACGATCATTAGTCAAAGATGGCAACTTAACCTTTATTCTAATATTTAAATTATAAAGTTTACATAGCTATTTTTTAATGAGAACAGTCTCTGCCAGAAACTTAAGATCGTTGAGTTGATACACAGTTCAAACAGTGTAGGGCAAGCTTAGATCATTGGTAGCGTACCTGCCACAGAAGTAGCTCTACATATAAATTACTTTAATCTCAAGATAGTACCCTTAAGACTATCCCAGAATTTATTCAACTCAGAATTATTAAAAGTCATCACTAATTTCCTGTAAAGTTAAAAAAAGCATAGAACACTGGTATAGCACAAACACATTTATTTACTAACCAAAGGGATAATCCTAATTACACCAACACACTGAAATTGTTGCATGCAAAATGTTTGTGATAAAGATAATTGTACACCGTAATGAAAAAAAAAGAAGCAATGTGAAGATTTGCTCATTGAACTGAGCTTGTTCATCCTCACAGCTAATTCCTGTCCAAAAGGATGATGGAATTTCTACTCGACTTTTTCATAGACCCGAGTGCAGGTGACATTGTTCATGACGCATATCTAGGAGAAAGAACGATATTAAAGAGTTAGATTACCCTTGCACCCCAGAGCAATTGTAGTAGTTAAATGCTGAGATCAGAATCCTACAAAACCTGTAATGTACTTCACAGATGAAGAAAATGCGTTTCAGGATTCCTGGGTTGGAAAGCTAGAACCTGCTCTTTTGTTTATGATGTGTGTATGCTTCACTGAAAACTAAAGTACTGATCTGTGACATCTAAATTATTCATCTAATCTTGGTCAATATTATTCCTCATTTTAAAGAAATAGAAAAATGTATGCCCAAGAGGGCACTGGTGGCTTGCCAAGATTATACTCTAACGGAGAAGCACAGCATGGACTAAACCCAGCTCCGTCTCCGTCCTCCGCCACATCACTTCACCTCTCTAGCCCCACAAAGGCCTTTCTTAGTTATTAGTGTTCTAGCATTTAACTTGTTATTTTGCATTTTTTTATCCCACACCTAGTTCTCCTCACCATCAGTGACAGAGAACAGAGACATGAACTATGAAGACAAACAAGAACCCAGTAAGACATAAGTCATTTGGCACTTACCACCACTAATTTCCCATCTTCCAATTTTCTCGTTATTGTGCTTTCCTTCCCATCCCATTCCTGATGTTGAACCAACGCGCCGTCTGTAAAGTTGCAGACAGTCTGCAAAAATAAAGTACACTTCTTAATCTCCCAAAATACATTACAAGAAAGTTTCCATGACTCATAACCTCCTCGATCAACATTTTTCCATCTTCTCCTTTCTGGTCTACTTCATTAACCCGTACCCATCTTATTCATAATAGTTTATGTTTTTCAATCTAGACACACATAAGGGACACTCATTCTCTCTCTGGTCCTTCAACTACTTTTATAAAATAGACAAAGTTATGAAGCTGGAACTTTCACTAATTTGTCCAAGCTCAATTCATAAAATAACTTGAGACTTTTTCATTAAGTTCTTGCCTGTAAACAGTAAGAATGTTATTAATACAATGTATCATTCTAGAAATGTGTGATTTTATAATATAAGCATGACCAACCTGAGTTTTTCTGCCATCAGCTGTAGTTTCTTCAAACTTCTCTCCCAGGTTACAGGAAAACTGTGTTGTTTTCAAAGTGCTCTCAGTTTTTACGCTGAGGTTATTGCCGTCAACAGTGATGATACAATCTGGTTTGGCCATTGCACCCATTTTCCGCAGAGCCATTCCCACTCCTGGAGAACGTTATATCATGTTAGACAACAGGAAGACCAGAGTTATAGTTTACACAATAAAAGTAGTCATTCAACTGTAATTACTATGCTATGCATATTTTCACTTATCAATAACTACTGTAAACACATATCCAGTGCTCACCAGGTGCCAGCACTTGACATATATTAATTCACGGAAACCTTACAAGAACAACCCTGTGAGAGGCGCATAGCACCGTCCCCATTTTACACGTGAGAAAGTGAGGCACTGAAGAAACTTACCCAAGCTCATTCAGCTAGAAAGTGACGGAGCTGGGAGCCAATGCCCAGGCAGTTTGGCTCCAAATCTCAGCTCTTGGCCACCATGCTCTGCTGGCCTTCAGAAAGTTAGGGAAGAAATCCAGACTTCTAAAATTGATTTCTCATTTCTGCCAACCATTGTATTATATGACTTCAGAACATAGTCTGGCACACAAAAGGCCCTGGATAAATATTTGAGTAACAGACTACACAAAACAGAAATCAATCCTGAGATACTCAAATAGAACAATGTTTTAAGAATAGCACAATCCTGATGTAATTAAATGGAAAAAACCTTACCCTCAATCATAGAAAACACTTTATAGCTGTGTAACTTAATTACCATATTGATATATTTAATTTATAATCTGTGTATTTCCCCTTGGTGTTAACATCTAGAAGGAAACTTAGATCTAGGCTAAATCCCAGTTTCACAGATGAGGAGACTACAACCTAGGCAGAGTAACTGGCTTGATAAGGAACACTCAGCCAGGTTGAAATGTCCCCTGGGAGCCTTTTCTTTTGCCAGCTCAGGGTTGGTGCCTTGTGTTGTTGGTTGAGTCATTATTTATTCTCACTTTGGACAAATAAAGGGCTCTGCTCTTTCCACACTTCGACTGTTCTCTAATGAACTGAGCCTTGACAACCTTCATGACTCTAGAACCCTGGAAACCAGCCATCCTATAAACACATTCGCCTTCAATGGGCAGAGAAATGGCATTCTCTATTTGGTGCTCACACAGGTGAACATACACAGATGCTGCATTTCTTGGACATGAGTGCAGTCAACAGCTTTTTCCAGAGTCATCTCGATCTAGGTTTACAGTGAAAGCAAAGAAAAAAACACTGTCTTCCAGTTTTACTCACAGTATCATAAATACACTCAAAATTCACCATAAAACCAGCATTACCCAGTCATCATCTTGCATAAAGGCTAGTGAAGGAGTGCTTCTGAAGTGCCTCAGGGACTTGGTTTCAACAGAGGGTCTTTGCAGTGACTTGTGCCCCAGAGAGCAGCCATGTGAACATTTGTGAGATGGCGTCTTCTAGAGCACCGTCACAGTCCCAGTTGGTTAGGGCTGGAAGGCCCCTTCCAGATAGGACCCATGGTAGGCTACTCCATCCCACTTCCTAGGGGCCTGCGACAAAGGTCCATTTTTCTTTGCTAATCTACCCAATGTGTCAACCAGCAGGCAATCGTTGTCACCGGCTTAGGAAAGGACAATAATAGAAAATAATGCACAATTTTGAGTGAGAGAGACTTAGGCTCCTTTGGAAGGCTTGAAGAAGTCAAGGGCCTTCTGCAGGACCACGCCCATCTTGGGTGCCGTTAGAAAGCAGCTGCAGGAGGGCCCGGCGGTTTCTGACTGCGGTTGGCCAACAACGTCCACTCACTGCCTCTTTGCCCCTCACACTCAAGATGCAGCCGCGCTCGGCCACCCCCGGGCACCCTCGGCCTCGTCGCGCTCCTCCCACAGGCCACCCGCCCACTGCCGCCCCCCAGCGGGGCAAGGCCAGCAGCTCAGCGCTGCCGGCGCCGCGCCTCCGAGCGCCCCTCTGGGACCTGGACGTGAGGATGCCCCGACGCTCCTCGGGGATCTGCACCAACCCAAAGGGCCCGGCCCACCCGGTGAGCGCGGGCAGAGCACCCGGGGGTGGGGGAGACGGGACCGAGAGCGGAATGAGAGCCGAAGCTGCAGCCCCTTCAGGGCCTCTGCTGGAAACCGCGCGCCGGCACCGCGTCCCCGTGGGGAAGAGGGCGGGGGCCCGGCGCGCCGTCTGGGAACAAAAGAGGCGGCAGTGCGCGTGCAGCCGCGATGGGGCTAGCGGGAGAGGCAGGCTGGTGGCGGGAGGAGGGATGCTGCGCGGTGGGCAAGAACACGTGGGAAAGCTAAAGGCGCCGCCTGGAGGGGCTCGAAGCTTGGGCCGGGAAGGGGGGAGCGCACAGGAAGCAGCGCGGGGGTCGCCGCGTGGGCGAGGGGACCGGAGCAGGGCGCCGGGCGGACCACGCGGCACATCTCGGGATTCGGCGGCGGCGCGCACGCTGCTCTCCCGGCCGCCTGCCCGCGCGGCGCAGCGCAGCCCGGCACCCACGGGCCGCGTGGTGCGGGTGCAGGATGGAAGAGGCGCACAGAGGTTGGGGGCAGGCGACCGAGCGCGCCCGGACGCTGAGCCCGGCGCGCTGAAGGGGACTAGGGACAGACAGACAGACACACGCCACTTTGCAGGCGCCGCCGGGCCGGAAGCCTCACCTACTTCCTTCATGTACTCGTCAAAGCCTTTGCTCTCCACCAAGCGCCATCTTCCTACCAGCTGCTGAATGGTGGCCATGGTGGGCGCCGGCGGCGTGCGCAGCGAGGAAAGGAGAGTCGGCGGTGGGGAGCGCGGCGTGCGGGCCCCCGGCACCGCCGCGCTTTATAAAGGCGGTGCGCGCGCGGGCCGGCGCCGGGCAGCCAATGGGAGGCGGGGCGGCGCCGGGCAGCCAA